TAACCTGAGATATCCTAGATAACCTTCCTAGATAACCTGAGATATCCACACACTGATGCTTTCTCCTTGCCTTTCCTCTGATGATACCACTCTGGTATTCACACCAGATAATTCTAAGATGCACGCCACTCAAAACAATCACTTCTCCTTTGGCAAATACATCAACAGCTAGCCCACCCATCTTTCACCCATAAAGTCTCTCAGGGGAGTTAGAAAGGAGACTCCAGGGTCCATCAACTGCAGGGGCACATGTCATTCTCTCCAGATGGTACCACTGAAACTCTTCTCCTTCCTTTGAGGTAAGGAACAGGTGTCCCGACACCTCTTCATTGAGTAAATGTGTGTGGGGAGGGGGGTGAGAAAGCGGAGTACAACAGTAGCTCTCTCCCAAAACCCTGCCTCCAACTTAACTCTGCAAAAGTCCACCTGTTGCCCATTTATATCCTTGACACAGGCGACATGCATAACACTCCATTTTAGTTTTCTATATGATTAGCACCCTTTGCCTCTTCTTGCCTCGGGTGAAATTCTAACATTCTGGTATATGTATATCATCCATTGAGGATACTAAGTGACAGATACACAGTCTCAGGTCAGAGCAAACGTATAATCAAGCAAGAGAGATGAGTTAGCAAGAAGCAATAAGTAAAGGACAAAGACACAACAGGAAGAAGGCAAACGTAGAGAAAATCCATGAGGGCAGCAACAAATGCACAGGTTAAAGCAAGGCAACAGAACACGTAGCCTGGAGCCTGCTGGCTGCCGTAAGAGCCCCCCACCCCGACCCCGCCTCACTGGTTGCCCCTGGAGCTCCCTCACTGAAGTCTTCCAGGCTTGCCCGTCATATCCAGTCTAGCCTGCCTGCCCCCTGTGGGTCTGTGCCATCCACAAGTCCTGAAAGGAGGTTTGCAATGGTGATCTCACAAATCCAATCACTGAGTAAATGAATTAGAAAAATATCAATATGCCTAAGTGTGGTTTCTGTTCTGGTCCAAACACAAAATGGTCCATGAGGCAAGCTGGATGATACTACTTCCAAAATTTAGTAAGGAAAAGGGGAACTAATCTTATTATAATACTTGTATTAGAAATATGCTATTAATACTAACACAAGGAATTCCAAAGATGTTAATGTTTTAACCCCCATATATGGTAAGATCCACATGTTTGCTTGAAATTATGATGATGATGATAATGAGAATATATATGTATTATATATAATATATAAAATTTATTTATTGTTATATATCAATTATATTAGAGATTATATTTGAGATAGAGTCTAGTATATAGTAGTTATTACAAACCTGACTGAGTACTTACCTGAAGGTCTGGTGGTGTTTCTGGATTTTTAGTTAATTCTTTAAGATCATTAACTTTGCAATGAAGTTCTTCCAATCTCAAGGCTTTGTTTTTAACTTCAGACTGGCAAAATAAAAGACAAAGAGAAAAAGCATAACTTGTGCAAACACTGACATATTACATTTGGCACTTAATAATTCCAAGAGTTAACCCAACTTCAAGTTAGGGTTTACAAAAAAAAAAATCTCTGATTTTCTGAAGACTCATTATTTATGCATGTGGAAAAATGTCCTCATTAACTTTCACTTCGAACGTAAGGGAATATGCAGAACTTTCTTCCCACACTCCCTTATTGGGAAAAAAAAAAAAAGCTCCTGGAAAAAATTAAACACTAACTAAAAAAGTCTTGAGTCAGTGGGGATTTTCAGTAACCATCATTTATTCATTAGCATTCATATCACTGGCTACCATGGCAGCATTAAACTTTTGAGGAAGCATTTCAAAGTAAATACACATTAGGAATGCCTAGTTACTATAGATTATATGTAATACATCAGAAAGGTTTCAAATAAAAATTTAAAATATTTTTATTTTAAACAAATACCTTTTTTATTTTTTGCCATTTGTTTATTTATTTATTTCACCAACACTAACACAAAACAAAGAAAAACAGGCAAAGAATCATTACTGAACAAATTAGATGCTTGTAAACTTCGTTATTTATTTGGGGCCACAAAGGACCATTTGATAAAGTATCCCTCTCAACTTAAATACAGCATTTTGGTGCTTTGTGGACACTAATAAACCTCCTGATGCCTTCATTCCAGAAGGTAATTTACTTACCCAGTGAGACATGATGAACTAACAGGCCCCCTGGCTTTCTCCAGGAGCAGGCTGAACAACTAAAGAATCACACCTACACACTTACACACTTTATTTTTGAATTGCAACAGCAATGCACAATTAGGCTCTGGGCCGAATCCGGTCTGCTAATTTTATTGGTTGCGGCACCACAAAGACAGTCGGTAACGTAAAGAAACCCACCTCTGTGAGTGACTGAACCTGGACATGACTGTGGGGCTGATGCCCACTGGCTTCCTGGATCCCAAAGGTCAGTAGTTGGAGGGCAGTGTGTGCCAATTAAACAATCAGCTCTCCAAAAAAAAAAAAAAAAAAAGACCCTGACTTTGGTATGATAAATCGTATTTACCACCATTTTGAGCTACACCATGATGTCACTGCACATGAGGTGGGAAGCACTGCACTACAACACAGTGTTCTACGTTTCCACCATGCAGATTGAATAGATACCAACAACTCAAGAGCCTAGATAATAGTTGTATGTAGAGTAGAAATTAAAAGTGGTAAGTTTTAAGTATTTATTAGCTTAATTTTTAATATAATTTAATTGTAAATTTAGTTACAATTTAATTTTCAATAATGGCTGTGTTTAACGCTGGCTTGCAAACTTCTTTAAAATTTAGTAATTGACTTTTGAGAGCTGGTACGAGCCCTATTCCGGTGGGCACCACTGTTTTGAGCTGTAATGTTAATTTAACATCAAAGAGAAATTAAGAGTCTGCAGTATCCCTCTCCTGATTGCATGTTCAGTCTGGCTAATTTCCTCTACTTCTGTTTGCCCTTAGCAATAGGCGTTTGATTTAAAAATCTCTAGAAAGTTCTTTGGGTCAAAGCTAGATAACTTAGGTATACAGCTGATTCACCTACATTTTTTCAGACTGCAGTCATTCATCATCAATCTGTTGTGTTCCCTTTGTGTGCTGGGCACAGTACTGAGCACCCAGGCATGCAATGGCAACTAATCTCTGCCCTTGTGGAGAGTAGTGATTATATGCTTTACGAAATAAGTTACTCTTGTCACTGTTTCCTCTTACCATGCTTCATTTTTCATCCTAGCCTAAGAACGACTGCACATTTTACATACATACTGTAATATAAATAAAGTAAATGCCACAGGGTAGGGACTATGTCTGTTTTACTGTTTGTTCTGTGTCTAAAACAGTGCCTGACATATTTTAGGTGCTTATTAAGAATTTCATGAGTGGGGATGCCTGGGTGGCTCAGTCGTTAAGCATCGGCCTTCAGCTCATGTCATGATCCCAGGGTCCTGGGATCGAGCCCCGCATCAGGCTCCCTGCTCGGCAGGAAGCCTGCTTCTCCCTCTCCCGCTCCCCCTGCTTGTGTTCCCTCTCTCGCTGTGTCTCTCTCTGTCAAATAAATTTAAAAAATCCTTAAAAAAAATTTCATGAGTGAATAAATAAATGAATGCAAGAAATGGAAATAAAAAGTTTAAAATAAACTGGTGACTAGAACTTTGAAAGGCCACTTTCTAGGGAAGCCTGTCACACTCCAGTCTCCCATTTTCTCCCATTTCTGAAGAGGAAGTGGAAGAACCTAGCACTTAGGGTAAGTGTTCAGCACATGGTAAGTACTTAGCAAACATTCTGTTTGAATGAAAAAAAAATTCCTCTAAATATTACTAAATTACAAACACCTTCAATTTGGTTTTCCAATAGCAAGGTGTGATAAGTCTCAGATGAATGGAAAAATGGGGAAAATATAGATTTTATGGGCTTTTACTTTTCTGCTAATATTTTAAGTATGGATCCCCAACTAAGAAGTGATAAAAATGGGGGGGGGAGTCTTATCCATTGCCTATTCACTCTCAGGTAAATAGCAAAAGATAGTTAAGACTTTTGTAACATTCATATGTGTCTCTGAAAGACAGACCTTTAAAAAAAAGGACACAACTTTCTCATATTCTGGTCAATGAGCTCATAAGATCACAAAGGTAGATGTAGTCAATTTACCTCAAACTCTTTAAGGAATTCTTCTGCTCTGAGGCTGTTATTCAGGTTGCTGATGCTTTCGGTCAACTGTGGAACAGAACTATTGGACCACCCATCGATTTCATCTTTACTTGAAAGTACGTCAGCCCAAATGGTCAGGCTTATCCGCAGCTTATCCATGTTTTCCTCAATTTTCTCTGATATCTGGGATGGAAAACAGAAGCCATATCATTATTAGTCTGAGGCTTTAAGATGCTCCTTGCCCCACCAAAGTACTAATAATGTTGATGCTGCCTTAATCAAAACATTATATTCTCACTGAAAAACAAAGTTTTACAAAAGTTATTATAGGGGAATTAGTGCACTTGACTCAAACAAATGCTAACCATTACATAAATTGTTTCTGTCATTGGGAGAGTTGACTGAATTTCTGAGACATTCGATTTTCATTTGTAAATTGGGAAACTAAGAACAGGTCTATTGGGAGTCAACTATAACATACTCTTAGGCTGAGTTCTACAGGATAGGGGTCCATCGAGGGCAGTATTGTGTTTATTTTTGAAAGTAATACAATAAGCACTTTTATTTGTAATGCTGAAACATAAAAATGGACATTAGACTTGAGCATATTTATAGAATAAATAAATACATAGGACATCGGCCAACTTTGTAGGTTTAAAGGAAAGCATTATTGTTTAGTAGTCTTCCTGTAATAAGAATGTTCTTTCAAAAGTGGAGGCAGGGAAGGTTTTCTGCAGTCCCCAAATTATGTGATTACAGTACACAATTATCAATGTCTAACTTTAGCAATTCAGCTTATGTAATTTAATCTACAGTAATGCACTGTAGGTTAATAGAAGGGCAACAGAATCACTGGATTTTTGAGCTGGAAACTATATAAATATGTATGGGTTGAGATGTAGAATTCCAGAAAGATCAAGTGACTTATTCTTCTGTCACATAGCTATTAAATTACAGAGCAAGAACTAAAACCCAAGGATGTAAACTACAAGTCTGATGTTTTTCAATGCAAAATTATAGTCTTATAACTCTAAATTATTATTATAGTTTAATATTCTATAGAATATTTATAAATTATTCTTCAATTTTTATCCATAATCCCAGAGTTTTGAGGGGAAAAAAACATTTAGAGTTATAAATTTGTTGTAATTGAAGCTACCAAGTGAAATTCTAGAAAATCTGCCACTAAGTTTCGTTTTGTTTTGTTTTGTGTTGTTTTAAGAGGAGGGGGGAGGAACAGAGGGAGTAGAAGAGAGAATCTTAAGCAGGCTCCACCAGGCCCAGCGCAGAGCCTAACCCTCGGATTGATCACACAACCTGAGAACATGACCTGAGCGGAAATCAAGAGTCCGATGCTTAACTGACTCAGCCACCCAGGCACCCCAAAAAATCTGCCACTAAATTTTAACAAAATAAAGCAAATAACTTTTTTTTTTACTAATTCTAAACTTTATGTGAATACTGTTTTATTTTTTCAAAATATCATTTTGCATGTTAGCATTAAGAGTTAAAAATGAGGGGTGCCTGGGTTGGCTCAGTTGGTTAAGCATCTGCCTTCGGCTCAGGACATGATCTTGGGGTCCTGGGATCGAGCCCCGCATCGGGCTCCCTGCTCAGTGGGGAGTCTGCTTCTCCTTCGCCCTCTCCCCACTCATGCTCGCGCTCTTCTCTCTCTCTCAAATAAATACAATCTTTTTAAAAAATAAAAGTTAAAAATGGAATTCACATCCCTGAATAATCCTTTGCTGAAAAATAATGATTGACAAATGTGAATATTTAAACTGTTCATACAATCCAGGTGATTATCTTACATCCAGCCATCTGTCCACAGTGCTCTCCATGTCTGTTTTCACCAAGATGAAATCACTACTGTGAATTTTTTTCAGCTCAGATAACAATTGTTTTCCTTTACTTGTAAAGTTATCCAATTCTTTCTGTTTATTACACATTTCGTTCTTGGCAGTTTCATGCTGTGGACATAAATGTTTCCTTAATTAATAAAATAATCAGTGATAAGTCAGGCGTTCAAAACCATTTGCCTCTAAGAAATTTAATTCATGGTTGACCTTATGCAGAAACCAGTGATATTAATGAACTATACATTTTTTGTATTGCTAGAATCCTAGGGTATTAGTATTCCTTAAAAAAAGTCTGAGTTTGTTGGCATGAATTTTCTCCATCTATATGTACTGACAAAATTGTACAGAGAATTCATTATATGTGAAAATCAGATCTACTGAGTAGTCTACTAAAATAAATACATTTCGAATTATTACCTTGGATAAAGCCCATTTAAGATCCTCCTGATCTTTTATAGTAGTTCTTGTTGCAATCACATTGCTGGCATTTTCTAGGACTTTAGATACAGCCAACTTGAAGTTCTGATATTCCCTCATTAAGTCAATAAGTCCACAGCATTGACCCTGGCTATAGTAATTAAAGAAAAGGTATCATTTATTATTATGTATGAAAGGAAAGGGTTCCCTATGATCGGACCTGATATGTAACCACATAAATGTATTTATAGATGGATGCTGGATTCAAGAGGAAGCCATATTTCTATCTATTAAGGTCAAGAGTGCTGGTCAAACCAACTTAACTCTAATGTTCAAATTGTTCTTCATGAGTAAAGAAGGCACACAGCCATTAAAACAAAATCTGTGACCTCAACGACAAGAAAAAATATATGTTCTTGACAACTAAAACTTATGTAGATGCCAACTAATTTTTGCTTTTCAATTTTTTCATTATTTAATTACATCATAAAGATGTTTATTAAGGGGAAGCAAAACAAACAAACCAAACCAAACAAACAAAAAAAACACTGCTCAATAAGTAAAATACATATGAGGATGTTTTTTTCTCATTTCAGTGACACAAATTTTCACTGAATATGAATCCCCTGAAAACTGTCAAAATAAGAGGGTTTCTGTTTATAAGCATAAAATGCCTCTGAGCAAGCAATTCTACATGTAGGAATTTTTCCAAAGAAAAAGATGTGCACTAAGATTTAGGTAAAATTATATTCTTTACACCAATGTTTATAATAGGAGAAAAAAATAGAAATAACTCAAATGTTAAAAACAGGCTAATAATTGAATAAACTCGGACACCTTCTTATAATTGAATACTGTACAATCTCTAACAAGTCACAATTTAGGAGAATGTTCAATAACATGGGGTAAAATTTTACAACTTGGTTAAATTTTTAAAAGCTCACATTAATAATCTACAATGTGCAATAAAAACTTATGTACACACAAAAAAACTGAATGTGAATGTTTATAGATACTTTTTTTTAATAGTCATCTGAACTGGAAAGAACCCGAATATCCATCAACTGGTGAAAGAATAAACTGTGGTATGCCTATCAAATGGAATATTATTTGACTATAAAAAAGAATGGACTTTATCAATACCCAGAACAATGTCCACTGTGCTGAGTAAAAGAAGTTATTTACCCAAGTGCAGTAAAAACTTATGTACACACAAAAAACTGAACATGAATGTTTACACATGCTTTATTTATAATCGTCCAAACTGGAAAGAATCCATTTGTATGTGATTCTGAAAATACAATACTGCACAGACAGAAAACCGATTGAAGGTCGCCAGGGACTGGGGGTGGGGGAGGGGCTAGCTACAATGAGACATTGGGGGATGTTTTTCTTGGGGTGGAATGATTATGTGAGATTTGAGAGTTTAATAGTTACTCATACAGGTGTGTGTACTCAAACTATGTGTGTTACACTCATATACTTTAAGAGCATACACTAAACAGCATGAATTTTACTATGTAAATCATACCTTGATTACAAAAAAGTACAACAAAACAAAAAATCAGAGGTTAAGACTCTCGCGGTAGCACTTTATAACTGCTAACAGCTCCTGCTTTCAAGCAATGAATTTCTCCTGTCATTGCCATCTCAACAACTTCCTCAATAAAATTCTGTACAACTAAATTTCTAATGGTACTAAAGAGACACAGAATACATAAAGTGGCAAAAGGTATTCAAATCTTGATCACACCGATGCAAATCAACAGACAACTGCCCAATGCCACAAAATAGAAAGCTGAAAAAAAATCGAGAGGTTTTTTTCACTTACTTTTCATGAATTAGTCTTTTGGTATCATCCCAGGTAACCTCTAAGCGGTTTACCTCCCTATCGATTTCAGATGCAAAGGCTACATCTTTCTGAGCAATTTGTTTAGCTTTGTCTTTCAACCAACATAGTTCATGCTCATGAGAATTCAATTCATCTTCCAACTGATTAAAGACTCTCAATCTGTAAATTAAAATGTTATTTTATTATTAATTTACCAAAGGTAAGGACTAATATTTCTTCTCCATAAAGCACACCTATAGATATTTGGAAAAACTTAACAACAGCAATTGAATTAATGTATATCAACTGTGAGAGACACTTTAAAAATTAACTTTGCAGAACTACAGACTGTACGTTGGGAAACATTTAAAATCATTTTCACCATTCATCTTCAACTTTCCATTAAGTTTGTATTCTTTTTCTATTTTGCTTTCATGATATAAGATTTTTAAGACGAGGGCTGAGCTTGTAGGCAAAGCAGGTGAGTACTTACTAAAAGGTCTTTGGTAAAAAGTCCTTCTGTGCCCCGAGGTCCAATTCATGTAAAATAATAATATTTAAGGGTACAGTTGTTTCATTTAAAATAAAAATAACTTTATTTTTTGTCCTTAACATACTAATATTTGAGTACTTGTAAAAAGTGGTCATATAGAGGCAGCCATGGACTCATGCATTCTTGTGTTTTGGTATAGAGTGCTATAGAGTTTATAAAGTGTATGCCATGCATGATTCCATTTAATTCCAAAACAAAGTGGTTAGGAGCACACATTATCATTTTATCTGCACCTTACAAGAAGACAGGTGATTTGCCCAAAGTCGTACAATGAAGCATAAATATGGCGGGACTTTAATAAATCCATCAATTCAATGCAACATTTTCCATAACCTCTGTGTGGCTTTAGAGAGTTCAGTGTTAGGGGTATTGATGTGGCTCTTGAGCCCAACCTGGGCCGCCTTCCCCAGCAATTTTAGGATCTCCTGCCTGCTTGGCTTACACAGGCCAGCAAAGCTGTTTGCTCCTTTGCCATGTTTGGCTCCTCTTGTTGTCTTTACTCTGGAGGCTATTTTTCTTCCTCAAATCTTATTCCTTTTTGTTAGTTTACTGTTAAATTCGTCGGCCTAGGGCTCACAAGACATGTATGTAACCTCAAGGGCCGTTATTATCTAACTGTAAGCCTTTGCTAAATGCTTGATTCCAATTAAAAGGAAGCAAATCACAATGATCTTGGCATGGTCAACACAATTCTTATCAATTATGGACACTTTGGTATGAGCACATTTCAGCGGCTTCTCTGCCCCCTGAAAAAATGGAAGACAAACATCCCTGAGAACATAAGTGGGGAGAAAGTTCTATTAAGGAGGAAAAACAAGATTGAGAAGGCTATAGTATTAGAGGAAAAAATTGCTTCCAAATGTACTGCAGGAAAATACCCCTGACCCCTTAGGTTCTCTATTAAACTCAGCTGACAAAAACCTCAACTTTGCAAAAACAACAACAACAAAAAAAACCTCAACTTTGCTTAAACCCACTTGTCTGCCTTTTCCACACCTCTAAGCCAACACTTAAAGGCAGTTGTTGAAAACTACTCTGGCAAGCTGATTGGTTTCACTTTAGGTGAAGGAATACGAATCTCAAATGGCAGCTTTATCACCTTATCAAGCTCCAGAGATAACCATTTCCATTTCCTCTCTACAACAGAACCACTTTATGCCATTTTCTCTCTGCCAAAATCCTGTCACTCACTCTCATCTGATGAGCTTGCTCCAGTCTTTCTGAGGGGCTGGCAGCCACCAGGCAGGAATTCCTTCATATTTTCCGCACTGGGACTACAAAGCTACCTGGATCACTCCCTCTTGCCTCCACTTTCATTCTCACTAGAGAAGATGAGGCCCTTCTCCTAACAGCTACACATTGCTTTAAAAAAGTTAATATGATCTATATTGCCTGTTATAATTAAGATCTTAGTGTGGCTTATATAGCCAGAGCCCTTGGGAAAATCCTTAAGGAAACCAAAGAAATTTTAGTACTTCTTAAGTGTCAAATCAGTCATTAATTTTATCCTCAAAATATTAAAAGGAGGTGCTAAATATGACACCGTTAAAGCATTGCAGTTAATTCTAGGACAAATAAAAAATAAACTCAACAACTGGCTCCAGCCGTTTCTTCATACCTCTGCTGAAGAGCTTGGCGGGTCAGCTCCTTCAGTCTCTCTTTGTCTGTCCTTTCTTCAATGTCCTCAATGCTTTTCAGCAACTCTTCTTTCTGGTCTTGGAATGCTTTCTTCAATACTGCCAGGGCATCTGCCTCACTCTGCTTCATACCCAGAAGGTTCTGGATTCTCTCTAATTCAGAACAGAGGTGATCAGCTGTCGTTCTGCAGGAAGTCCTTTGCTCAGAACTTCCGCTTTTAAGATGGTATTGAGCTTTGGCGAGAATGCTGTCAAGACTGATGGCCGCAGATTCCAGTGTTTTAGCGTCTTGAATTGCATGATTTAGGTCCTTTTCTAATAAATCAGTCTGTTTCCTATTCATACTGTCGGTTGCTTCCACTGTGTGCCTCAGCCGGTGGAGAACCCCTGACAGCGAGGCGTGGCTCTGTAGGAATTCAGCCAACTGGGACAGGGCAAGCTGCCGCCTTTCCACGACCTGGCTGGCTTCCTCCAACAGCTGGAAACAGTCCTCTGCCTTGCTCTCAGCTTGACCCAGAGCACCCAGCTTCACTAGGTGATCCCGTAGACTCTGTAGTTCTCCCTTTTTGCTCTCTATTTCTGCTACGTGGTCCTGGAAGGGAAGAGCGAGTTACTGAGTCCTCAGGTACACTGTGGCTAATGACACAGACATAGTCACAGTCCGTGATTGTCAAGATCCATTTTCAACGCAATGGATGCTGTAGGACTTAAAGGTCATCTATGGTGAATCTTTAAGAAATGTTCTTAAAATTTCCTGTTTTCTCACCTATATGTTTTACATATAACAACTCTGATTTGGAATGAATTCATTGCATGGAAAATAATGTCTTAATGAATAAAAATCGTAAAAGGAAATTTTATATAAATACATACATGTATAATTCGGAAGATTTAAAATACATATGTATACATAGTTAAAATTTATAGTTCTAATATAAATATATATCTAGTATATATCAACAAAAAGCAAATCACAGGCCCGAATTATGGTAGGTCATGTCACCAAACTGGTGTTTCACACCTAGCCTAACTGCAGTTTCAGACTCCTCCAGAAATAAGTGTTAACTTGTCAGTCAGGAATTTTCTGGTCAGTACTGATGAGGCAATCTGTCACATAGGCCCTCTCCTTCCCCACGCCCCCAACCCAAGGAAGATGAGGTAATCTATAAGATAAGACCAGACCCCCGGTTCTTACCCCTAAGGGAAAGTGGCCTTGCCTACAATGATCCTTTCTTTTGCTAATAACTTATTTGCCCCACTCTCCTTCCTATGAAAACCTTCTATTCTGTACAACCCCTCTGAGCTCCTTTCTATTTGCTAGATGAGATACTGCCTGATTCACAAATCACTTAATAAAGCCAATTAGATCTTCAAATTTACTCAGTTAAATTTTTTTAACAATACTGTATATATATAATAACAATACTATATATATTATATATTACTATATATAAAAGATATTGAGGTTTGAAAGACTTTAAATATATATGCAATGAAGTTAATTCTAACAGCGCTTATAGGGAGGGAGAGTAGGAATAGATGGGCATTAACCTATCTTCAGAGGCAGTAGGTGAGGCCGATGAAAACAGGTTTTAGCAGCCTCCTTTAAAGAAACAAAGATGAACTCATTGAGACTGTTGTATAGGAAATCTGACATGCTCACAATAAATCATGTTTGAAATCTCTCAGAGCATTGCTAACAATCTCAGCATGGTTCCCATTAAAGAGAAATTATCACCTATCTTAATCTTGACCACAATGGCCTTAATAGTCCCCTCAGTTTGACTATTAAACTTCAGAAAGAAGCTTTGAGCATTTACTTTAGAAAATGTACAAATTCATTCTCTGCTCTTTTGAGATACAAATCTTTTTAAAAAGCTTGTGTGCAGTTACAACCCAAGAATGTTTCTCAAGGACAGGGGGTCATCCTTTTGAAACCAACACAGTGAGTTAACAAATGCTTGACTGTTTTACCCTAAAAAAACTCTGGTTGATCTGACTGATTTATGAGCTTGTTATGTAGAGGTTGAGTGAGCACCAGTAAGCTAAGACTAGAGAAAGCTGGGAAGAATCCTTACAGTTGTGCACAAGGGACCAAAAGTGAAAAAGAGTAACTGTGACGACACACCCCGTGATCTCCCCCAGCTCATCATGCTTACACTGCCATTTAATGAACATGTGTCCCATGACAAGCACAATTCCTGAATGCAAATGCTCAGAAAGGGGGACATTTACTTCTTCCCCTATGTCTAATCGGCATATTCCATTCAACCTACATACCCATGACATCCTAACTCCTTATCCTTAAATGCACCCAACCCCAACCCTTTTGGGAGACAGATTTGAACCAACCTCTTATGTCTTTGCTTGGCAATAAAGCTTACCCCTCTGCAAAAGACCAGTGTTACGATATTTGGTTTTCTGTTGCACGAGGGCAAACGAACTCTTTTCAGTTTGGTAACACTTTTGAAATATAATCATGAAGAAGATAGCACCCCCATCTCCCTGTCTCTTTCAAGGGTAGGAGCCTAATTTCAGTGGGCATCTTGTTCCAAGTTGTAAAACTACTTGAAGTCATAAAGATATGAGGAAGTACTATTCCTTTCCATAAAAACAATTAGCAAACCTGGTACAGAGTGAGCTCTCCATAAATACTAAATGTTTTATCATTAAATATTGTCATAAGTTTATTATGTAGCTTATCTCCAACTACTCTAATACTTGATTTAAGTGGTTTTTTTATGCTAGGATAGATATTATGCATAATTTATAAATAAGGAAAATAAATCATGAATTTTAAATAACTTTCGAACTAAACAGTAATTTAGTAAAATTGTATCATTAAGGCATTGGAATTTGGTATTAGTTTTCAGCATTGGAACAAAACAAACCAGGAAGCTTAAAAATGAACATTCTCATCACTTTACCCTAGAAATCATTTACTCCATTTTGAAGAAATAGTGTCAACATGGTTGTCTAGTTTATCTGAAGTGGTTTTATCTGCTTAATTTATCTGTATAACACATTGCTAGGACCCATATACTCAATTATTAAAACATTTGCATATAAATGCAAGGTTAAACTGGTGCGGAATGGTTGGATTAAAAAATGCTTTTCTTTATAATTCAAGAGCTCTCTTTTATGAATAAATTCTTCTTTGATCTTAAAAGTATGCACTTTACCTTGTGCCGAGTAAATGCTGCTTGATGGTCCGTTATGCTTATTTCAGAAGTAGTTTGTAATTCACTGAGAAACAGCTTAATCCAGACAGAAAAGGAAAGCAGCAGTTCATCAAATTGCTGGTGTTCAGCGACCACAGACTGAAGAAAAGTAATCCTATGTAGAGAAAGGTATTAACGTTAAAATGTCCCCCAAATGAACAGGAAAAGTTAATGATACATTGTTGCAATAAGTTTAACTGAGGGCAAAAGTGATGTTGTCATACATGGACATACCAAAATTTTTGATGTTTTCTACTTCTCAAACCCTTTATTCACAGTTTTCCACATCTCAGTTAATATTAACCACTGCCCCCGAGGTGGTCCTCTGAGCCATTCTTTATGCCCTCGGTTCTTTACCACCACATCTAATCTGTACATACCCCCTCCCCACTCCCCCACACACAGTATATTCTCTGCTCTCCTCTCCATTTCCACAAGCCTACCTGGGTCTAAATTGCTTCATCTTTTGCCTGGCCTCCTCAATGGCCTCCTTCCTGCCACTCTCCACAGTTCACTCTTTAGGTAATAGAGAGACCACTGTGTCTCTACAGTTTACTCTCTAGGTAACAGCCAGGAATGATTTTAATGTAATCAGAACACTGTCTGCCAGGCTTAACACGGAGTCAATTTCCTTTTGCACATAGGAAGGCAAACTCCAAAAATCCTTACTGTGGCCGAGAAGGGACCCCACATAATCAACTTCTCTGACCTCATCTGATGCAGTGCTCTTCCACACGCCACTGCCTCAGTTGAGAAATACCACGGGAGGCAAAATTTTAATTACCATTTTTCTCCTGTACACAAATAGCTTGGGCAAAAATAATACAAAACATAAGCAACCCTACCCTCCTTCAATATTTTTCAATTAGTTTGATCATTTTCCCTAATTGTGAGACAAAAATTTTGGACTGAGGTTCATCAGAAATGCTGATTTTTGAGCGCTTGAGGTTTTTTTTTTTTAAATTTTAATTCCAGTAAAGTTAACATACAGTGTTATGTTAGTTTCCGGTGTATGATACAACAATTCAACAACTCTGTCCGTTATCCAGTGCTCAGCACAATGAGTGCACTCTTAAACCTTTTCCTTCATTTCACCCCTCCCCCCACCCACCTGCCCTCTGG